ATCAAATACCCCCACGTCAGATTTGTTCGTAAGCTTACGTAATGATTTCCCTAGATGTAGCATTGCTCGTACTATATTCAGCACAAAACTCAACGGTACGTTCCGGAATTGGTCAGCTCCATTCGTGTTATTATACTTATAGCATCTGTTTCTTTCAACCCGTACGTGTCTTTGGAAACACCCTGAAGTCTCGTCCTCTGATTTTGAATTCTTGAACTGAAGCCAATCAGATATTGATCCGTCCCGATCGACCCGAGTAGAGTCCTCCACGGACTTCCATCTGCATCCAGAGAATATGCTTAATTACGCTGGTCTCAGACGCCCAAATACAAAGAAGAATATGCCAAGTCAGGTCAGAGGGCGACGGCTCATCACCTCTCACCCAAGCCAACCACAGAACAGAATGACAAATTCACAATCTAACCCATCCAAGCAAGCAACAGAGTTCCTACACCCTCCGGTTCTGCTCTGTGTCGATAATTCTATATTTCATCATTCTATATATCTTTCTCCAGCGAGCTTCAGCTGCACCGATCAACAATGGGAATGGAGTATGATGCTTCGTCCACGACGGCGTCCTCCATGTTCCCGCCTTTCCTTGCGATGTTCGCGGCCGTCTACCTCCTCGGCTACTTCGTGGTGTTCCGGCGCTGGAGCCCGCAGCAGCGGCCGGACGCGTCCAGCTGCCTCACCTCGCTCTTCCACGGCACGCCGGCGACGCTGCTCGCCCTGCGCGCCGTGCTGTCCAGCCCGGGGGCCGGCGACCTCGCGGCGCCCAACACGCCTGCCGACGACCTCGTCCTTGACTTCAGCACGGCCTACTTCGCCGTAGACCTCCTCCACTACCTCGTCTTCCTGCCCCACGAGGCCCTCTTCGTGGCGCACCACCTCGCCACGCTCTACGTCTTCGCCACCTGCCGCGCCGCCGTGCGTCGCGGAGCCTACGGGCTGCTCGCCCTGGAGGTGCTCGCCGAGGCCACCAGCCTGGCGCAGAACCTGTGGACGCTGGCCGGCATGCGACGCGCCGGCTCGCCGCTGGCCGCCAGGGCGCACGTCGCCCTGTCGCTCCCGTTCTACGCGGCTTACACGGCCATGAGGGCGGTCCTCGGGCCGGTCTGGTTCGTGAGGATGGTGAGATTCTACGCCGCCGGAGCCGGCGATGGTGCTTTGCCGACGTGGGCGTTGGCGTCGTGGAGCGTGGTGATTGGGTCCGCGATACTCCTGAGCGTGCTGTGGGTGGGTAACCTGTGGTTCGCCTACTTCAGACAAAGGATGGTGAGCAGCAAGAAGGAACAATGATGGGCTCCTTAAGTTAATGATTTTCTCGCTCATAGGGTGTTTGGTTTGCTGAAATGTTAAAAAATTCATGTAAGATTTTAAGGTTTCACGTCGTAATTCTCATGTGAAAACAGATAAGTTTGCCATGTTGTTGTAGGAGATTTGCCATCCTCTAAAGCGAAAATTGTCATGTTGTAAAAGAAATGACAGAAATGCGCCAAGCTGCGCAGAGTACTCTCGTGCGTTCGATCAAGATCTAACGGTCCCAAGAGCGTTCACTAGGATTGCTAAAAAAAATACGATGTTCATGGTTATTGGTGTACTTGATTTGGGGATTTGTAACTTGGTTTTAGTACGTTTGATTTAGCCGATCTCGGATAACAGGAGTTAGGTTTACATACACTTGAGAGGAGTGCCGATCGGCGCGCGAGTGGGAGTGTCGGCGTGCAATTGCTAGGTACACCATGGGAACCGGTCCTTGAGGTTGGCCTACCAAGCGTGATCTCATAACGGGTTACCAACAACCCCCACAGTCAACACATGGTGCTTGCGAATGTTGTAGGTAGGGCGACAAAAATCGTCGAGCACACTCGTTGGGAGCTCTTTGGTGAAGATGTCAGCAAACTGTGATGCCATTGGACGTCGAGGATAAGGACTTCAGCGAGGTCGTCGTGTGCAGACATGAAGTGGAGATCGATCACGACACGCTTGGTGAGCTAGTGTTGCACCGGGTTGCTAGACATTTGTATGGTGCTCATGTGGTCGCAATAGACAATGGTGGCGTGGCGGTGGCAGCTTCTTTTTAGTTCAGTGAGAGAAGGTGTTATGGCGCACAACGAAGCAAGTGGTGACTCCGCAAAAAAAAAAAACGAAGCAAGTGGCCATTATACCGCCACAGGTACTGGCGCGGAGGGGGCCTCCTTTATGACGCGCTTTGCATCCAATACGAGTCCAACGCACAGGGCACACCTTGATTGGGCTGACCCATTAGTGCAATAATGGCTTGCCTAAAATAGCATTTTGTTTTTTCGGTATTTTCCGAAACATAAGAAAACATTATGATTTTTTTTGTGAACAAGCATTTTTTTCAAAAATGAGAATATTTTTAAAATTGTGAACATTTTTTAAACGCGATTTTTATAAAAATGCAAACAATTTTTTAAAATTTTAATATTTTTGGGAAAAGAGAACATTTTTTTGGAAGACGTAAATTATTTTCTGAATTTATGAACATTCTTTTTGAAGAGCAAACAACTATTGAAAATGCACAAAATTTTAAGAACTTGATGATACTCCGCATGTTGCCGCGGAATTGGTTGGAATAAATTTTAATGAGATTTGGTTGTATGGAACGTGAATATTTAAGTTAAACATTAGAATCAAAACCAAAAATACATATGCTTCACTGAATATTATTATTGTACAGTTATGAGATATTTATTGAAGATACGTTTTTGAATAAAATAGAAAGCATATTTTAATGCATCATTGCATGTTTTGGTGGGCCTTTTTCCATACAGGGTTGCATGTTGAGGTGATCCTTTTCTTAAAGAAAGGCCAGGGCTTGACTTTATGAATAAAGTCATATGCCAAAATCCAGAGCAAACAATAAACCACAAGTTCAACGCAAGTTCAAACCATTGCACAAATAGCAAAGTTATCCAAAGGCACGCATGCCAGCAACCCACACACATGAACGGCCGGCTACAGCAGCGGGCCAAGTGCTGTGGTTGGCCGGCGCGGTTTCAAGCGACACGTTCTCGTGCACCTTGACCTGGTGGAAGATTTCACTCCGGACATCAACGGCAACATCCCTCGGCGCCCCCGCTCCTCGCACCCGTTCTCCATCACCCTGGGGGTCATCGATGGCGAGTCAAGAACACGAGACAGGTCTGAGGTGGCTGTGCGCCGCCGGGAGGACGACCAAGACAGAGACCGGCATGATGACGACCGCGACCGCGGGCGCCGTGGCCGCGATGATCACCCCTCTTCCTGGAGGGACCGTTTCTTCAGGAACCGTTCGCGTGCTCCGGAGCGCCGTGATGACTCGGGCCACCGCGACTCGCGCGATGGCCGGCGTCGGTGTCAAAACCGGCGGATCTCGGGTAGGGGGTCCCGATCTGTGCGTCTTAAGCTGATGGTAACAGGAAGCAAGGGACACAATGTTTACCCAGGTTCCGGCCCTCTCGATGGAGGTAAAACCCTACTTCCTGCTTGATTAATATTGACGATATGAGTAGTACAAGAGTAGATCTACCACGAGATCGTAGAGGCTAAACCCTAGAAGCTAGCCTATGATGATTATGATTGTAATTGTGGTCGGCCTTCTAAGGACCAACCTCTCTGGTTTATATAGACACCGAAGAGGGCTAGGGTTTACATGGAGTCGGTTACAAGGAAGGAAATATAATATCCGGATCGCCAAGCTTGTCTTCCACGCAAAGGAGAGTCCCATCCGGACACGGGACAGAGTCTTGAGTCTTGTATCTTCATGCTCCAATAGTCCGGACGATGTATATAGTGCGGCTGTCCGGATACCCCCTAATCCAGGACTCCCTCAGTAGCCCCTGAACCAGGCTTCAATGACGATGAGTCCGGCGCGCAGTCTTGTCTTCGGGATTGCAAGGTGGGTTCCATCTCCGAATACTCCAAAGTAATTATCGAACACTTAAACCGTGTCCGGATCCGCAAAATGATCTTTACATACCACCGTAGAGAGGATGATATTTCAAATGCAATCTGCTGACAACTCTTTTAGAAACGTGACGTGTCATTACTGTCGGGTCATTATTCAAACCGTTTTTCCACAACCAGCCACAGCGCATGTTGCGAGGCGGTTTCCTTGACACATCTTGTCAAAGAAGAGATCGTGTCCCCTTATTACGGGATTCTCATCAATACGGGTATGGGTAATCCCATCACGCCATCAATCGTGATGCTTGGGAAGTAAGCGATTCCCAACGGGCAAGTGGGGAGGCGCACCGCTTTCGTCGCCTCTATAAAGGGATAAGAGTTCCCCATTTTTACCCACGCCTTCTTCCTCCTTTGCCCACTCTTACCCCCTCGAGCTCCAGCGCCCAAGCCCAAGTCTTCTCTGCACAGCTAAACATGTCCGGAGCAGGAGGCAAGTGGGTGGCCTCCATCGTGAAAGAGAAGCATATCGCGAATCTTCGGGCGACTGGATACTTGGACGCAGACATCGCGCACCGTCTATCGGACAAAGGGCAGGCCATTCCAACCCCGGAACCTCACGAGAGGGTCATGTTATCGCCCACTTCATCCGTGGACTGGGATTTCCACTTCATCCCTTCGTCTGTGGGCTCATGTTCTACTACGGGCTAGATTTCCACGATTTAACCCCAAATTTCGTCCTCAACATCTCGGCGTTTATCGTCGTGTGCGAGGCCTTCCTCCGCATCAAGCCTCACTTTGGCTTGTGGCTACAAATCTTCTGCGTGAAGCCGAAGATCGTGAGCGGCCAGCAAGCGGAGTGCGGAGGGGCCATGGTGGGCAAGATGCCCAACGTCACCTGGCTTGACGACTCCTTTGCGGAGACCGTGAAAGGGTGGCAGTTGGGGTGGTTCTACATCACCGAGCCGCGCGGTGCCAACTGGGCGGCGGCCCCCGAGTTCCGATCCGGAACCCCCATGCGGCTCACCTCCTGGGAAAAGAAGGGCCTGGCCTGGGGCGAACCTACGGAGCTGACCGGACTCCAAAACTGCATTAAGAGCATGAAGGACAAGAACATCAAGCTTGTCAACATAATCCAGGTCATGCTCGTTCGCCGGATTCTTCTATGCCAAAGGCGGGCATTCAATCTGTGGGAGTTCGTCCCGGCTGAACACCAGACGCTTCGAAAGCTCTACGACATGACGCACAAAGGCGCATGGAAGGTGCTGTTCAAGGCCTCCGAAGTACCTCCCCCACATCCGAGGACCGCGGACTTCATGCCGCCCCCCCCGGTCCGGTGAGTTTTCTGACTACCACCGGATTCGGTTCTTCCCAATATATTCATGGGGGAGTCTTAAGTAATTGTGCATATTTGATCAGGATTATGTGGAGACAGCGGAGCAGATTGACTGTCCGGCTCCGCTGCCAGAAGGCCCAGCGGATGCTCTCCTGACGAAGATGCTAGTCCCGGCGCCCTACAAGGCACCGGAGAAGAAGGCCGAAAAGAAGTCCCCGGGGACCAGGAAGGGTCTCCGGCGTAAGGTTGTACCGGAAGGCTCGTCCGAAGACGACGAGGCACACTCCTCCCCCGAAGGAGAGGAAGAAGAAGAAGGGGCCACCCCATCTGGAGAGGATGAGGGGCCTGAGAAGGCGGACCAGGGGGGCGGGAAAGGCCCCCGGCGCAAGGCCGTCATACCCTCGTCGTCCGATGACGACGAGGCAGATTCCTCCCGCCGAGGCGGGAGGAAGCAAGAAGAAACTCTACCTCCCCGCACTGGGGAGGAGAAAAAGTGGAAAGCCGCCCCGAAGGAGGAGGCCGAGATGTCCAAGAAGGGAAAGGTGTCCCTTCCGGACTACTTCGCCACGGCCTCCCATAGCGAGGAAGGGTGGCTGCCCATGGGGAAGCCCCTAGCGCAATCGTAAGTATCCGCACTATATCGTGATTTTACTTCATAGTCTTTTTATAATGCCGAACATATATGCAGTCCGGCCAGGGTTCATCCCGAGGTATCGTCTTCGGATGGGTCCCTGAGCGATTCAACGATGAACTCGCTCCCGACGGCTACTACTCCTCAGCCCACGGATGACACAGAGGTGTTGTCCCGAAGGCTCCCAGAGCGGGGGGAGGTGACTCTGGAGACGCCAAAGGGCGGAATTCCAGATGTCGTACACGCGGGGTTCAAGATTCCCACGGATCATGTCGATGAGAGCCGCAGTAAGCCGGGCTCCCAGCCGAACACTGTTCCAGAACCTGGAATGGTTCCGGACTCAGGCGGGCAGCCCCTCATTAGGGAGGGCGAGCCGTCCATGCCGAGGACTTCCGCTACGCCCGAGGCGTCGGATTATCTGAT